CTAATCTAGTCTGACCTCTTGCATGACACTGGCTATGGAATGTCACTTCACATTTTCTGCATCAAGCTATTCACTTCTGTGTGAGCTACACAGCATAGCTTTGAGAGACCCATTTACTCTTGATTCAACGACTTCAAATCATGGAGAATCCACCCTTCCCAACCAGCCCTGGGCACTCTCATTGATGTCACGGCTAGTGTTCACATTTTCAAAAGGGACTGGGGATTTTGGATGCTTCGCTTTTTGGGTGCCCCTCTTGAAATGGCTAAAAAGGTGCCTGATTTGCAGAACGTGCTGAGCCTCTGCCCCCTTTAAGGTGCCTAAATTTGGGCGTCCAAAAATTGAGACTCCCCAGAATCACGACACAAATGTAGACTGGGAGCTGAATTTGTCCCACAGAAACCGAACCCTAAAACACGGGCAACATGTGGGCCTTTCACATCCTCAGCATGTGTCACATCTGAACTAGCCGGACGTTATCGTGTGTACCTCATGCTAGGAACCCAGCCCTAAGCCAAGACGTATCTTATTATTTTATTTTACTTCCCCCCAAGAAACACCAGTCCTACATAGAGGGACTCTGCTAGTATAAATGTCAGCCCTGCGTCAAGAATTGCAGGCCACATCCTCCGCTGATAAGAACTGGCTGATTTACCGCAGCTGAAATTCTTGCTCTGAGCTTTTCCCCTAACCTAACCAACCGATCACCATCTTTGCCATTTCAGAGTTCACTCACAGCACGCGCACAAACATGGCAACTGCACACACACCCCTATTGTGACTTCCTTTGTGAAGCGTCCTCCTGAATCCACTGCCGTCTGTAAGAAGCATTCAGGGTCACTGAGAGTCACTTTGGTTGCATCATCCTTCTGACTGATGGCTGAAAAAATTACTCAAACCCGTGTGTTAATTAAACTTTTACTGATATTATTGTGTAAGTATTGCCTTTCTTTCTTTCTTTCTTTCTTTCTTTCTTTCTTTCTTTCTTCTTACCTCCTAGTTGCTTATTTCTCACCCTTTCTTTCCTATGAACTCTGATTAACAAAGAAGTTCATTAGAGAGAGACAAGGTGGGTGAAGCAATATCTTTTATTGACCCAATTTCTGTGGGGGAGAGGGACAAGCTTTCGAGCCACACTTTATACACGGAAGTTCATGTGTGTGTTTTTTAATCAGTGAGTTCACACCTTCTAGTGGTTATAGCAATGTGGCAAAAAGGCTGCCTTCTTCAGACATCATTGCAGTGTTAAGCTGGCCTTTATTCCTTATAACTAAACAGGTCCTTGTAATTCATGTTTTCTTTCTTGATATTCACAGGCAAAGATGTTCTGTGCAATCAAGTAACACAGACACCCTCGGCTCTTACGGTGGAGATGGGGAACCAAACGAAAATATTTTGCAATTATGTTACTATCGCTGCAAACCCTGATTTGTACTGGTATCGTCAGCTCTCTGACAACACCCTGCAGTTCATCCTATACAGGGATAACTCCCGGTCCCGGGATGCTGATTTTGCCAAGGGACGCTTCGCTGTGGAGCATGATTTAGCAGGAAAAACCTTCCACTTGCTTATATCTCCCGTGGGAAGTGAGGACGCTGCTTCCTATCACTGTGCCATCAGAGCCACGATGACACAGCCTGACTGCAGCGCTGTACAAAAACCTCCGGGAAAGGCCCTGCCTTTGCAATACGTCTCCTCCACCCTCACATTTCAATGGGCGTTAGGCGCCTAAATGCCTGTCAAAGTCTAGCGCTAAGTGGCTTCCCAAGGTCTCACACAGGAAGTCTGTGACAGAACAGGGACCTTCACCAAGGTTTCCCCAGGCCTAGGCCAGTGTCCTAACCATTGGGCCACCCTGTCTTTACACGCAGTTTGCCGGTGGTTTTTGTACCTCTGTCACCAGACACTGACAGAGCTAAGGGAGTTCAACCCGCTTCCGAGCATGCACTTATATCAGAGTAAAGATGCTTTTGTCAGTATAGGTTATTCCCATACATTTACAAGGATTTTAGAACAAATATAGTTATAGAGGAACAAAACCCTGTCTGTTGACCAGCCCTTAGAATTCAGCCTATGTCCTGAAGAAGGAAGGTTTCTAATCCTTCCAAAGCTCTTGTCCATTCTGTAATCTTTGTTCTGGCAACGCTGGGTGTTCTCATTATCCATTTACATGCCCAGGGCTTTTTTCAGCCCTGCTAATTTCTTGACCCCAGTGAAATCTTGTGGCAAGGAGTTCCACGGGCCGATTGTGCACAGTGTGGCAAAGTATTTCCTAGTGAAACCTCCTGCCTGACATAGGACACAAATTTTCACCCATCTATTACTGCAGTGGAAGGGGATGTTCTTGCCTAATAAATAAGTGAAAAATAATAAACCAAGGCTGAGATACCTAAAAGGGATCTCTCAGGGCATCCAACCTTTACTCACTACCCTAAAGGAATTGCCTTTAATACACCATAAGCAATTTTATAAATAGCATTTGTGACAGAGGGCTGGGCAAAGGGTTGCTGATTCAGCCCTCTGTCAGGCCAGCTCCCATTTAGGGGAATACATTAGAGCTGGCTGGAGGTAACCTGGCACTAATTGGGGAGACAGAGACAGCTGCCACCTAATTAGCCTGGGACTGTATAATAGCCTCCGAGGCAGGAAGCCAAGGGAGGAGCAGAAAGAAAGGGAAATGGCAGGGATTAGAAGCAGGGAGGTAGCTCTTCCCTCTCAAGAAAGCCAGCGGCATATTGGGCTGTATTAGTAGGAGCATTGCCAGCAGACCAAGGGAAGTGATTATTCCCCTCGATTCGGCACTGGTGAGGCTACATCTGGAGTCTTGGACCCCTGACTACAGAAAGGATGTGACAAACTGGAGGGAGTCCAGTGGAGGACAATGAAAATCGTTAGGGAGCTGGGGCACATGACTTATGAGGAGAGGCTGAGGAAACTGGGATTGTTTAGTCTGCAGAAGAGAAGAATGAGGGGGGATTTGATGGCTGCTTTCAACTACCTGAAAGGGGGTTCCAAAGAGGATGGATCTTGACTGTTCTCAGTGGTAGCGGATGACAGGACAAGGAGTAATGGTCTCAAGTTGCAGTAGGGGAGGTCTAGGTTGGATGTTAGGAAAAACTTTTTCACTAGGAGGGTGGTGAAGCACTGGAATGGGTTCCCTAGGGAGGTGGTGGAATCTCCTTCCTTAGAGGTTTTTAAGGCCCGGCTTGACAAAGCCCTGCCTGGGATGATTTAGTTGGTGTTGGTCCTGCTTTGAGCAGGGGGTTGGACTAGATGAGCTCCTGAGGTCTCATCCACCCCTGGTATTCTATGATTCTTGCCTGCAGACGGTGAAGGGCCAACTGTATAGGCTGAAACGGTGGTGGGAACAAGCTTGTGAATAAACTGCACCAGTGCTGACTAACGCCAGGGTCTCAGGGTGACTTTGTGAAACTAGCAGAGGCAGGAGCTAAGGGGGCCCTGCCCTGCTCTGCTACAGCATCTTACATGAGCCAACGTGGTCTGGGTCTCCGTTTTCTTTTTCAAAAATGGCTGCTCCAGCACCTTGTCACCTGCTAGTTTTCTGCAGCTCAGCACCCCTTATTGCCACACTGGCACATTGGGGCCAGCACTGACTCTGGGGGAGACCCCCTCCACTGAACCCCCACATCATTCCCGGCAGCAGGGCACCCCCTATCACAAGGGGACTAACATCTGTTACACGCGCTTTCTTTTCTCTCTCTCCTCCTCGCTCCAAGGAGAGTTGTGTCTGTGGTGGAGTGCTGTTTTGGAAGGGCTTTGGGGGGAAGGAGATATTTTTAAAATGTCTCATGCTGCTCTGTGTCCATGTTACAGAAGTGATCATCCTTATGACAGATGGTTCCACTTTGCCGGAGGACCACGGTCCTCATTCCAGAGCTGTAGGCTCCTTCAGGTATCCTGGGCCACTAAGCCCCATGGAGCTAACGACCGAGACCTTGAACTTGACCCTGCCCCAGAGCTCATCCTACAGCCCAGCCCCTCTTAGCCTCCAACTGGGGCCCTGGGGTCAGCCCTGACTCAGAGTCAGCATCAGAAAAACATCACATCAAAGACGGTGGCGGTTAAAATGTTTTTCTGAAATGAGCATGAGGCTGTTGTTTTGCATGGCGTGACTAGCTGAGCGGCTGTCACCGCAGCATCCTGCCTCATTTGGGCGCCTGCTAGTAACTGACATAAAGCAGGGGAAGGACGGTGGGGGAGGGGATGTATTTTGACTACAAATAACCCTCTGGTCCAGGTTGCTGTAGCAACTGTATCATCCAGCAAACCACCAAAAGTTATTTCCTCCTAGTGCCTTCCTGTTAGCAGTGAACAGAAAAAATAACAAATGTTCTCTTCTAAACTTTGTATTTTCAATCTCTCTATCGCCATACACACCCGTCTCTCTATCTCTGTCTACCTATCCCCCTACACCCCCATCTCTCTCTCACTCACACACACACACTATTCCCTGCACACCCGTGTGCGTATGCCCACATGTATTTTTGTGTGCATCTCTGTGTCTCTTTTTGTAGGATGGAAGAATATCCAGAATATTTTGGTTGGAATTTTCAAAGTGGCCAAAGGAGTTAGATGCCCAAATCTTATTGAAAGCTACAGGGGTGGGGGCGACATGCCTTACTCCTTTGAAAAATCCAAACTTTTAACAATATTACTTTTTCTTCATACCACCTCTATGGTTGGACTGTGAAAAGCACTTACGTGGATTAGGAGCACAGCCCCCATTGACTTCAGTGAACTTTGTTTGCCTAACTACAAAATGCAATTTTCAAAATCCCACCCTTGGTGATGAAAGTGGGAACAGTTTTGTGCAGTGTTTTTCTTGCAACAAATCCACAGGCAGATGAACTCAAGTTACAGAAATTCATGGCTGTAACCCCTGGACTTCAGTGGCCATTGAATAAAATCCTTGATGATGAGCTCAGACCCAAACACTCACCCATAACTAGAATGAATTCAGAATCGCCGAAGACAGAGGGTAAAAAAAAGGGTCTTTCTTTCCCTTTGCACAATCACCTTTATTATTTCCATAATAAGCACAGAAAGCTGCAACCACCAGTTTCATATAAATGCACAGATCCCCGAGGTGAACTGACCAGCTATCACAAATAACGTGAGGACATGGGCCGTCACCCCCCCAGCTGGTGTATGTCAGCACAGCTCTGTTGAAGTCAATGGAGTTGCACCAATTTATACCAGTGACAGACCTGGTGCAAATTTTCTACTCTAAAATGATAAAATGCTTCAGCTATGAATGGATTTCCTAAGCAATAAACCAGTATTTTTATATAGTGAAAAAAAATCAAACTAAGATTCTGCAAAGCTGCCTAAGGGATTTGGAAGCCTCAATGTAATACTGTGGTAGGGAAACTTCCCGCTAAATATTCCTATTAAACAGAAGACTGAAGAAGAATACAAGTACTTACTATCTTGTGATACATCATTTAAGAGTCAGAACTAACTAGCAATGAAGAGAATGGGGAACCGAAAAAATTGAATAATTTAAAACATGGAAAAGAAGATCTAGGGACAAATCCCAAGAAGGTGATAATTGGTATAGATGTATTAAAGTCGCCAATTGACAGCAGCTGGGCGTGCGGCCCATTGACTCGGAGGGCACGACAGGCCATTTACACCAGTTGGGGATTTGTTCCAACTCACTCCAATAGCATTACAGTGGTTTACACCAGCTGGGAATCCGCCCCAACTGAAGTCTCTGGCACTGGTCCCGGTCTCCTGTCTTCAGCCCGTTGCTGGTTCACTCCTCACAACCTATGAAAATGACAGATCTGTGCTCAGACATTCTGGACACTGTTCATTTCACTAGGACCATCACCCTAGGGTCTACACTCTGGTGAAGATCTGTAATGGCTGATGTCCCAGACTCTGACTCAGGAGATCTGTGCTGGATTCCCAGGCTTTCTGTGTGACTTTGGGCACCGTAGGCCAACATTTCCAAAAGCAACCTCTCATTCTGGGCGCCTGACCATGGCCCTGCTTTCTGAAGGCTGCTGAGAATCTGCATCCGCAAATGGAATCAGTGGGTGTGCAGACAATTTATACCAGTTGGGGATCTGGTCCATCACGTCCAGTGGAGTTACAGCTGAATTATACCAGCTGGAGATTGGCCCAGTGACTCCCATTGGATTTCAATGGGATTTTGTATCCCAAAACTCCCATAATTCCTTTGAAAATCCTTAACAATGACCCCCCAAGCCCCTGCATGGACATGATGATAGTAAGAGTTCCTACCTCAGAAAATGAACAACTTGACAGTCATAAGCATGTTGAAGGCGATGCTTTTGGCAAGCAGAACTCGCAGGCCCAGCACAGTCACTGACAGCATGTTCACTTTTTCCATGTTTGGCTCTGTGGGGAAAAAAAGGAGGGAGGCACCTTCTTGGATCAAATGGTTTTATATCAGCAGAAAGTGGGAAACACCTCAATAAAAATTATATGAAAGAAAGAAAGAAAGAAAGAAAGAAAGAAAGAAAGAAAGAAAGAAAGACTTTGTACAGATAGATAAAGTAGCATTTCTTTATTTTATTCAGACTATGGTTTTCATTTGTATTCAGCCCATGTGTGACGCTGGCAGGCCAGATGCCAGTTCTTGCCCAGGCTGCAGGCATTAGCTAAGAACTGACAAACTCATAGCTGGAGACCAGACCAGGTCACCTCTTTATTAGTTTTGCTCAAAATAGGTAATAGTCTTCTCAGAATGTCTCCAGGATTTAGAGTTTAGGAGATGCTTTTAAGGTGCTGAATGCATTAGTCTCACTTGTCATGGCTGTAAGAAAAGATGTAAGTTTTGCTTTATAACTTAAAAAATGTTTGCCCTGAATTTACAACCTCTGCCCATTCAGATGCACCATCACACTCAGATGGGCCACCAAGAACCTTTGCAATACAAATGATTGTGTAGTGGCCCCATCGCACCCGAGAAATGCTACTTGGAAGGAAGCTTGGAAGCCTGTGGGCTTGGAAGCTGAATGAAGGAAATAAAACAAGTCCACCGGAAAATTTTCCATCTTTTTAGCTGTTTGAATTCTGAAGGGCAGAGAGTTCTGCCTCCTTGGTCTGCCCTGAAAACACTTTGAATTGACAGATCACTACAACTCTGCCACTCTTAGGATTAGCCGGTAATTCATTGGTGTGTCTATGTTTGCTTGCTTTAGCCTGGAGATAACACTCTTTTTCCTCGTTAACAAAGCTTTTGATAGTTTATTACAGGATTGGCTACAGGCGTTGTCTTTGGTGTAAGATCTAGGGTACCAATTGTTCTAGGGGTAAGTGACTGGTCTCTTGGGATGGAAGCAACCTGAGTTTGGTGCGATTTTTGGTGTAAGTGACCATTTATCACTCAGTCCCATTTGTCTGGGTGGCAAGATAGATTGGAGCATCAAAAGGGACTGTCTGTGACTCCATGGTAAGACTGGTACAGTGATCCAGGAGTTCACATTTGGTACTGAGTTGCTGAAATCTTATTATACAACCCACCACCAGTCTGGGGTGTCTGCCCTGTTTTTGACAGTCTGCCCTGAAGTAGGTCTTCATGGTCATGAGCCACCCCAGACAGGTGACTCCATGAATAACAAGGGCCCTCCCAAATTCACAGTCCATTTTGCTCAATTTCACAGTCATAGAATTTAAAAATCTGAAATTTCATTGTGTTGTAACCGTGGGGCTCCCGACCCAAAAGTGGGCTGGGGGGGGCGGTTGCAAGGCAATTGCTGGGGGGGGGGGGGTCATGGTATTACCACCTCCATGTCTGTGCTGCTGGTGATGGCAGGGCTGCCTTCAGAGCTGGGCTCCCAGCCAGCAGCCACAGAGCTTCCTGCCGCCCTGGGAGGTTCTCCGAGATGGGTCTGACTCAGCCCTGGGAGCGGTCCCTCTTGGGGAAAAGGAAGTCCTGTCCCTCCCCAGCCCGGTCGGGGCTAGCATCTGGAGCTGGGCACATGGCAAGAGCTCCCTGCCCTGCCCCTCCCCTACACTAAGCAGATGTCACGGGTGAGACCAGAGTTCACGGGGGAGAGAGCAGATTTCACAGTCCCTGATGTGTTTTTCAGGGCCGTGAATTTGGTCGGGCCCTATTAGTAACGTTTGTGGGTCACCAGCACTGCTGCGTGGAAAGAGCAACTACAAACTGACAGTAAAGAGTCAAAAGTTAAACATTATTTTTCAACTGAGAAATTCCATTGTCAAATATCTGCATTGAATCCACACCCTCAAACAAACATCATTCCACTGGCCCTTTATTATATTTCCTTTTATTTTTCGTAACTAACCTTCGGAAGTGGAATCTGAAGGTTCACACTGAGTGTTATTGATTGGAGCCTGAATGGGAGCTGTCGAAAGAGAGAGAAATTAAAATAGAGCTCAATTAAAACAATTATGAAACAAATGATAAATACAATCTCCCCGCACCCAATAATGAGTGAATGGAAATGCCTGAAAATCAGGCTGAAATTAACTTTTGAACTGGTCACACATTTTTTTGATTTTTCCCCACAGAAAAAGTCGACATTTTGTCAAAACAACACAACATTGTGCTTTGGTGTTCAGCGACCAAAACCCAAACAATTCTAGCCCAAAAGTTTAGCTGAAAACTGAAAAAAAAAAAAAATCAGCTAAAACCAGCCCAGAACAAAAGCCTTTTGGGGGGAAAACATCTCTTTTTTTTTCCTGACTAAAAATAAAAAATATTCTCAAAATGCCGACACTTTCTGTAAAAATCCATGCTTAAAAAAATTCTTTTTTCCACCAAGGAAAGGTTTTGAAACAAAATATTTGAAAAGCCCTCATTAATTGGATGGAACAAAGTGCTTTTTCCATTAAACACCGAATCTAAGTCTTACTCGTGTCAATAGGAGACTTTATATGGAGTTAGATCACAAGTTAAGGTTGAGATTTGGAGTCCCAATTCCCATGTAAGTAAATGAGAGTTCAACATCCAAATCCATGAGGTGGCTGTGAAAATCTAAGCCCTAAGAGAAATATTTTCAAGGAGCACCGGCTGAAAAATGTAAAGACACTTTCACCAAGAAAAAGTTACAGTTTGAAGTTAATTTCATTGCTAAGTTCAAAACCGAGGCAGGCTTTATTTTTTAAAACTTTGTCATGGTCTTCGTTTTTAAATCAAAAATATAATCCAAAATTTTTGTTTAGCTAAACTCCACTTTACTTTTCTGAAAATTCCAATCACAGTTTCAATAATATTGTGGAGAATGTTTTCCTTAAAAACTTTGATTAAAATGACACACAATTATTCACGAAAGAGTAAATGGGGAATTTTTTTCATGTTCTTAAAAGGTCACTTTTCAACGCAGAAACATTGGGTTTGACACATTTCCCACCTAGGGTTAGATTTACAAAGGTGACTAAAGATGCTGTCAGGAGCCTTATGTGATTAATGGGCGTTAGGTGTCTAGATGCTGTTTGAAATGTCACAGGGGGGTGAGATTTTAAAGGGATTTAGGCACCTAGTTGGACTTTTCAAAAACATCTAAGTGCCTGACACCCACTGGGAGCCCACCTACCGTTAAAAATCTGGCCCTAACTGAGTTAGGAAGGAACTGCTTAGGTGCTTTTGAAAGCCCTTCTGTGCACCTCTCTGTGTCTTTGGGCACAGAAACACCACTGGACATCTGGCTCCTAGCTCCCATTAGAAATTCTATCCAGCTTTCCTGGGGAGGGGTGGGTATCCTTGAATTTAGGACTACGACGCACCATGAAATAGGGTGCATCTGGCAAGCGATGATAACTTTCACATTTGGACCATATAACTATACCTGATTGAGGCTCTGTCTGGTTAGTATAGGCTCCTTCGTGTTTAACAAAGCACTTCACTTCTTCATTAGGTTCAACCTTGATCACCTGGATCATGCTGTATTTCCCATTGGAAGAGAGAATGCCTTCTTTCGATTTGTATACAACCTCTTTCTCTTGACTCATGCTTATGCTTATGATCGCAGGGTAGAAATCCTTAACTAAACAAGCCGCCGTCAACTTGTTGCCATCGTTTTCTCTTGGCTTTGTCGATTTCACAACAAAGACAGATGGAGGGGAAATCTCCTTATGTTCTGAAAACAAATAATTGAGGGTTATAATTTAATTAGATTAAACTCTAAAGGGAGGGAGAGTTAGGTTAAGGATCATAGAATAAAGTCATGGACTATGGAGTCTCTCGCCTCTGGGTCAGATATAGCAATGGGAAGTTTTGGATATGGTGATGGGATGTAGAGCGCTACATCTCCACATTGCGGGTTTGGATACAAGCCCTGCTGATGGTAATTGGAGAAAATATCACCTGAGGTATTTTTTAAAGACCGTAATTCTAGGTGCAACTTTCACTCGCTGGAATCCTTGCTGAAAATATCAGCCAGAGGTGCTGAAGGCAGAAGGGACCACAGAAGAAGGGACCACAGAAGACAGAGACGGGGAGAGAGATGGGGACGAAGGCTGTGATTTTCAAAGGAGACTAAAGGAGCTATGCACTCAAAAGCCCGGCCTGAAAACTCAAGAGTGGACATTGATATGAATATCAAAAACAATCCCCATGTTCCCTAGGTCCGTAACACCTACTTATATTGGTGAGAACTCACATGCATCACGAGCCTCTCCTGTCCGAGTAAGAGCCTCAGTCTTTAACAAGCGGGCCTTAAAATTAGCAAACCCCGTACACCTGTAGCATAAAACTCAACAGTATAATTTAATCCTGCCTTGGCGTCATCTTGGCACCTGGTCTGAAATTATAAATGCCCACGCGGGAAGGTCCTTCATGTTCCGCCGCTTTCTGATGTGGCCAAACCACATAAGGATCGCAATGACGGCAAGAAAGGAAGTTATGCCAGTGGGTGACCGATTCTGCTCTCTTTTACTCCTGGCTCTACAAGGAGTCATGACTCTACTTCAGGAGTAACGTACCACTCCTAGGAATGGTGGCAAAACCCAGAAATCCTTTAGTAATTCACAGTTACCGAGTTCCACAGGGGCTTTTGCAACTCTGCTAAGAGTTATAAGGATATTTTGCAACTCTCAGGGCACCTTTTAAAGGCGTTTCCCATGTGCCAGTGGATCAAGGAACACAACCCTCTCTGGAGAAGCGTTATTATGGGCACTTTAAAAGCAAGCAAATCTGATTTCATCAGACCACTTCATGCTGCTGTCTCAGAATGTTTCATGAAGGTGAATATCCAGGAAACCTAGTGAACGTGGAACGGCATGAGGGGTACAGGGCCCCTGCCAGTGCCTGCAGTGTAACTGCTCATGGCCAGGGTTGTCTGAGGTGGGAAGCAGATGTTGACAATTTTGTAAATATGAAGGAAAACCAAGTTGCATCTGGTACAAACCCACATTGCTGCACTGAAGTCAGAGGGACCAAACACCAGCTGGTGTCAATCAGCCATAGAGCAATGGGATTCAGTGGGGTGGTGTGAAGCGACCTAATCTCGCTAGTCTATCCATGGGCCAAATCCCCCGCTGGTGTCAATCAGCAGCAGCACTCAGTTCAGTGGGAAGTCTTTCCGTTTACACCAGCTAGAGCGCAGTAATAGCCCTAACAGCGATGGATTTCCACACTAATTGTGCTGCTTTTCCATTCGCGTCTCCATGATATTTTGTTAATTTACCTTACAGTAAAAAAACCAGCTACATGCCACAGCTCTTCTCTGCTCTCGGGCCTATCCTGTACTCCTGACAGCCTGACTCCGTGATCTCGGTCTTGTGCAGACTGACTGGTAGCCCTGTGTGTGAACGAGCCCGACTGTGCAAACGGAGCCCTCAGAACCGCCGTGCGAAATGCGATCTAAGAGCTCGTCAGACCAGCCTCCTATCCACTTACAGTCATAAAAATCATCAAAGCCGGACTCTCCCCACACTTCCCCAGTGGGAACATGATTCATTGGAATGGTGTCACTCCGGCTTTAGGAGGGGATAATCTGGCTCAGCATGCCTCGTTATCGAGGCACTGGAAACAATGGGTCAAACTCCTGGATGATCGAGAGCCAGCGTGGCTGCACTGAAGGCGGAGCTGGGCCGCTTTGAACCAGCTGAGGACCCGGAGCGACGCCGCCAGCGGACATGGAAAAGAGAACAAAACTGACACTTACTGGGCTCAACAGAAAGCCTCGTGCCTTTGCCAAAAGTCAGGGCTCTGGTCTCCCATGCACCGTGCTGCAGGGCCAGACACACAACTCCAGGGCCTGCGCTCAGAGGAAGCCTGATTTGCACCCGTGTAATGGAGACGCTACATACGCATTGGCCTGAGGCAATGGGAATCAAACACTATCGACAATACAACCTAGCTGTTCCTTACTGGGCTCAACCAAAAGCTTAACGCCACGTCCAAAAGTCCCACCGGCAGCCTTGCAAACTCAGCGCTTTCTCGCCTGTCATATCACTGCCAAGTTTGTCCTAAACCCTACTGAACAGGAAGCCTCTCACATCACTTCAGTCTGAAAATTCAGCTGATTGTAACTACTTCTCGGCCTCACATTGGACCAGTAGAAACAGGGACATCTGTTTCAACTGTGTCTCCATTTTCCTGGCTTGGAAATGCCCTCCCTTTTATTTCCCAGGAAGAATTCTCTTCACTTTTAGCAATAACATTATCAAAAGGGCTATACAAATGTCTCATAGCCTCAAAACATGAAGGTTTCAGGAAAGGAAAAATGTCAGTCAAAATCTCAATTTAAAACATGATTCAATGGATCATTCAAAATTACAAAAAAGAACCCTGAATGTTTTCAAAGCAGCTGATAGATTTGAACCTAATGGGGTTGGGGGTGGGGGGGATGTTTATTTTCAATTTTTTAAAAAGTTGGTCAAACATTTCCAGCCAGCTATATTTATTAGTGGGCCTGCTTTCCATTCAGCCTGGAGACCATTCTTCTCCAGTGCAAGGAAAAAACGATTTTAACAGTGGGAATGAAAACAGGGTTTATATATATATATATATATATATATATATATATATATAAACGTTCTCTTTGTACCTCTTTGTAGTGCCAGAACTGCCAGGGAAGGAACAGTTCCTTTATTTCTCTCTCTTTTGAAAGGAAAAATGAATGTAATGCTGGGAAAAGGTGCAGACTAAAGGGTGAGAGAGATGAACACTTACTTGGTTCCACAGTCAAAGTCGTGCCTTTCCCAAATATTAAATAATGAGCACTTCGCACACAGTGTGACAAGGCTCTTCAAAAAATTGGAGATTGGAAAGTGCTCTGAAATCTGTGAATTTCTGGATTACATTCTGGAATCTAAGGGCCAAATTCTGAGAACTTTACTCACATTGAGTAGCACCTTAGTCTGTGCATGGCCCTGCTAAAATCAAGGCGGTGATTTGCAGAGTAAGGGATTCAGGAACATCAGGGTGTCACTGTCTTGCCCCAAAGCTGGAATTTTCAAAGGAACTGTAAGGATTTAGGTGTCCAATTCCCATTGATATTAAATTAGAGCTGGGCGCCTAAGTCCCTTCGGCTCCTTGCAAGACCCCAGCCTTCACTCTCAGTTTATGAAAAGCCTTCAAACTTTTTTTTGCCCCCGCTCACCTGGCTGGACTGTGAGTTTAGTCCCATTTCCAAACGTGAGCTTCCCGGTGGTAAACACACTGCTAAATTCTCACACCGAGTCCCAGCCCTGTGTCGGGCACTTGCAGCTTGTCTCTGGCACGCACCTAGCCCGGACCAACTGCTCTTCCATTCCCACGGAAAAACGGGTTAATTCCTCTCCTAACAAAGGGGAAATGGCTGTGTAGGAACCTTCCAGCTCTACTGAGGCGTGGCGATCATCCAGGGAGGTATTCTGAAGGTTGACAAATACTCCCTGATATTTTACACCTGGCTAAAACACTTGATGGGAAATGAAGCATACACTACATCGCCACGTTGAGGGTCTCAAAGATTTGAGCACCTAATTCCTGTTCATATTAATGACCATTTAGCATCCAAATCCACTCAGAGGCTTTGAAAGTGTCAACCCTAAAGAACAATCTCTGCCAACTGAGAGAAGTTTCCAGCATCCTTTTGGTCTTAAGTTATTTGCAAGGAAAAACGTTTGAAATTCCACCCCCACAACACACCCTGGTCGTCTCCGGGGTGAATTCTCAACCAATAATGGTAACAGATCATGGCTGGCTCTCCTACAGTGCTTCCCATACACGAATCTCTGAGAGCTTTCCAACGAGATAAGGTCTCATTATCCTCAGTTCACAGATGGAGAAACGGAATCGCATTTAGGACTTGCCCAAACTCACCCCACAGACACTTGTTACCTTAAGGTGAGGGCTCAGGATTAGGTCTAAGACGGGGATTTTCAAAGGTGCCTCAGAGAACGAGGTGCTGAAAGCAGTGGGACTTGTGCGCCTAACTCACCTAGGCTCTTTTAGAAAGCCCCGGCATAGCCACACAGGCCAAGGCTCCGGTGCCAGCCCGAGGCTCCAGAACCCTTATCTGGATGGCTGGCTAAGCGGCTTCTCCCCTGAGCGCACAACGGCCCCTGCCCAAGTTCTCCGCCTGGAGACGGCCCTGAGGAGCGCCGAGCTCACCCCGTTTAACGAGGGGCCAAAGCAGACGCCTGGGCGCCTAACTTCAGTCACCTGAATGCGAAAAAATTCTTAGCCCCGGGCGCTGGTGATTCCGAGACCTTAAAACACAACAAATACGCGCCGGGTCCCCCGGTGAGCCGGGCCCGCCGCCGAAGAGGAGGGCTGTTGGACACCGTTACAGGCGGCAGCACAAAACCGGGTTGCCTCGCTAGCCCTCTTCTGTGTGCGGTTCTCGGTGCAGGAACACAGCTCGGCTCCGGACCCCGAGGGCGGCGCCGCTTTCTTCGCGGGGAGCCCCTTGGGGGCGTTGTCTGAGCTCCGCGCGGCCAAGGCGCTGAGCCGCGGGCCAGCTGCGCTGCGGCCGCAACGGAACTGGGACAGATGCTGGGGGCGGGTTGGCAGCGCTGTGTTAGAGAGATCAGAAGGGCTAAAGCAGCCTTGGGTGCATAAAAGGGGGGAGAGAAAGTTTAGTTTACCCTCTGCTGGAATCCTGTGTCCAGCTCTGCTGTTCCCAATTCAAGAAAGAGGTTGATAAATTGACAGGTTTCAGAGGAACAGCCGTGTTAGTCTGTATTCGCAAAAAGAACAGGAGGACTTGTGGCACCTTAGAGACTAACCAATTTATTTGAGCATGAGCTTTCGTGAGCTACATCTGATGAAGTGAGCTGTAGCTCACGAAAGCTCATGCTCAAATAAATTGGTTAGTCTCTAAGGTGCCACAAGTCCTCCTTTCCTTTTTGTTGATAAATTGGAAAGGGATCAGAGAAGAGCCAGGAGAACGATGAACGGATTAGAAAACACGTTTATAGCGACAGAATCAGGGAGCTCAACCTGTTCATCTCAACAAAGAGATGGCTAAGGGGTGATCTGATCACCGTTTCTAGGTATCTGCATAGGAAACAAATATCTGATCATGGGTTTATCAATGTAGCAGAAAGCGGTTTAACACGATCCAATGGCTGGAAGTTGATAAATTCAGATTGGAAATGAGGTGTATAGTTTAACACTGAGGGCAATTAACCAGTGGAGCAGTTTACCAAGGGATTTTCCAGCAAGGGCAATTTTTAAGTCAAGAAAGGATGTTTCTTTAGAAGATATTCTATGGGAATTATTTTGGGGAAGTTCTGTGGTGGGTGATATTCTGGATGTCAGATTAAATGATCACAGTGGCCCCTTCTGGATTGGTAATCTGAGGCTCTGTAAAATCGACAGGGCTTTGGCAATTTATACCACCCCAGATTCCTGCCCGATTGACTTATCTGTAGTTATGTCAATTTACACCAGCTGCTGATCTGGCCCAGTGACTGAGGAGCTGGGGATCTTCTCCCACTGACTTCACATGAGCTACATCCATTTACACCAGGTGAGCATTTGGCCTCACGGATTTCTCTTGATTGACACCAGCTGGAGATCTGGCCAGTCTGATTGTAATGAAAGTGGACAAGCAGGTATTTTCATGCTAGGAATTCACTCGACTGTGTTTTAACAGCAACAAGGACACAAACGGTATACACGTTTTCTAGATTCACTAATGAACACAATAGCTTGTACCTGCCACCTCAAGGCAATGTTTTATCGCTTCTTTTAACGGTGTTCTCGGAAAAAAATAAAAACAAGATGAAACAAGATTGTTAAAAAATGCAAACATTCAGTCAGAATATTTGGCTTCTCCCTATATCCAACTATTCCTTAACCCACGCCACCAAACAAGGTTTCAAATATACAGCTGTATGTCTGACTGGACGCTTTCTGTGCTGTGGTCAAGGAGGAGAGGCTTTTCAAAGTGCCAAGGGAACTGTGCTCCTGTCTTCCTTCAGCATTTTTTGGAAATCTCCTTCATGGAGCATGCAAAAGGATGAAAACATATCACGTTGCCTAGGGGGTTTGGACACCCAAATCCTGTCATTTTAATGGGAATTGGGTTTTCAAGGGTAACAGTTTCAAAAGCACCCACAAGCTAAATTTGTAAAGGTATTTAGGTTAATTTGGGCTGGTTTTATAGGTATTTCAAGATGTAGATACGCATTTGGTGGGGATTTCAAACCTGTCGAGATGCATTGATTTCAATGGGAGTTAGATATGTAGGTGCTTTTGAAAAATCTTACTAGACACCTTTCAACAGCCTTTATCACCTAAATACATTTAAATCTGTATCATAGGAGCTGAAGCCTCATTGAAAGTCGATGGGACTGACTGACAATCATTAAGTATCTAGGTGATTTCAATGGAAGTTAGGCACATAAGACTTTTGAGCATGTAAGCCATGGCTGCTTTTGAAAATTTTACCCATAATCAACCAAGGACTTTTCTGCTGTCAGTTTCTATACACAGCTGGATATTTCTGAACAATAAAATCAACCTTTCCACCACTTTACCCTTCCCCAGAAGCTGAAAAATACACTTGATAAATACTTACGTGGTTCAACTTTCAGCTGAGTGCCTTTCCCAAAGATCATGGGCCATGTGTTAACACACTTCAAAGGGTCCCTACAAAAACTTACGTGTTCCATCTCTCTCAGAGGAATGCTGGAACTCCATGAACTGACTCACAAACCCCAGATTTTTTCCCTTTAAATTAGAGCCCCACTTTCCAAAACAAAAACCAACAACCACCACCTAATCCAACTTCTTCAGTTTACACCCAAGAAACTCCAGACAAAGAAATCCAGCAACCAGCTGTAAAGTTGTTCCTTTGACTCACTCCATATTTCAACCCTCTCTGAAAATTTTAATTACTTTTCTAAAACAACCTTAAATTTCCTGGGTGACATTTTCCCCATTAGCCGGGCAATTTGGACATCCAATTCCCATTCATTCTGAAGGAACTTGGACATCCCAGTTGCTTAGGCAGTTTTCAAAATGTCACCCCGAGGTTATTGAGCCATTACCTCAGGAATATGAAAAACACTCACGCTTCCTTTTGGGGATGAATTACTTACTTGGTTCCACGGTCACTTTGGTGCCTTTCCCGAAAATCAGTTTCTCATACTCCACAGAGTTAGAGAGTCATCGCAAAACCCGCCTCGCGCATCAGCATTGAACCCTGGGGCCTGCGTTCTGAGACTGACCTAAAACCGTGCAAATCCACGGAACTTCAGTGGCGCTGAGGCATTTTTACACCAAGTCTGGCCCAGGTTACCACACCCTGAGCTAGTGTGTACCGGTGTAACGCCATCGACTTCAGTAGAGCTACGCCAATAGATACGAGCCAAGGATCTAGACCACTGGCTCCACGGCGGCTACGCAAATATGCACCAGCTCGCGATCGGGTCCACTCACTCCAATAGAGCCACACCCAATGTACACTGGGGAGGCATCTGGCCCTTTGACTCCTATGGCGTGAAGCTGGTTTACACTAGTTGGGATTATGGGCCATTCGGTCCAATGGAGCTGTGCAGTGCATCTGAGCATCCAGAGCTGAGTCTTCAGCTGGCAAGAAAATCCTCTCAAACCCCAGAAAGCAAAATCATTTCTTTGTGGAACCACGTAGCAATGCTCCCCTTCCCTTCTAGTGTAATTTTAAACATACAAAGCTTTGTACTTACCTGGTTCTACTTTGACAGTGGTCCCTTTTCCGAAGATCAGTTTATCTGTATCCACATTGTTTGTAGCCTGCTGAAGAATAGGTCTCTAGAGGAGCTCCGTAGACATGCCAAGACAGAGAACTAAAAACAGGACTTTATCCTTGCAGGACACATTATTCAAAGCCAGGAAGTGTGTACCATGTCCTATTTCTGCCAAAAATTAGAAAAAAATCATTCTGTAGTTGAACGATTCCAAAGACTTTGTGCCAGGAGATGCTTCTCAGCTAAACCTTCTTTCCAGCTCTTAGGATATTGCTCAAACTGTTTCTTGGGGGTTACATGGAAATAGGGAGAAAAAGAATAAAATGTACTGTAGTTACCGCCTCTGAAATTTTGGGTTAGTGTGTTTTTTGCCACGAAATATTGCTTTTCTTGCATCTGCAGGTTTTTGTACAGCACTCTATGGAGTTTGTGTCACTGTGGTAGTATATCCCCCCACCCCACAGTGCTGCACCTCTTTACAAAAAACACCTCTTCTTTCTTACTGTACAGAGCTGTGAGAGTGCATGCAGCCATGTGACTTCCCAACAGACTGTTCCAAGGAAATGAAAGCGGTTGCTTACCACAGCTTCATTCCAGCCTCGGCAACATGAAGATGGGCCAAGGTTTTCAGACTTGGGGGAGCCAAAGCTGGAGTTCAAGACTGGCACTTTCAAAGGAGCCTAAGGAAGTTAGACATAGAGATTTTCAAAGCTACCTAAGGTATTTGGAGATAGATTAACAAAGGTATTTAGGCACCTAGTGGGATTTTTAAAAGGAGCTAAGTAGTTTAGGAGCCTAACTCTCATTGGAACCCATGGGAGTTAGGGATTTAGGGCCAGATTTGTAAAGGTATTTAGGTGCCTGGAGAGATTTTCAAAAGCATCTATGTGCCTAAAGCACATTGATTTTCAATGGGAATTACACACATGGAGGTGGAGTTATTATGTCAGTGTAGCAGAGCACTTACATCCGCAGCAGCAAGGCTGTAGTGTGGACGCTGACATAATTAGGTCGACATAAGCTGCCTTACATTGACCTAACTCTCTCGCCTCAGGCTCCCATGTCCCAAAATGACTTTTGAAAATGGGACTTAAGCTCCTAACTCACTCAAGTACTATTGAAAAATGTACCCCATGCAAATTTAAAAGCCTAGCTTTACTCCATCATTTTTAAAAGCCTCAGCCAAAACTTTCACAGAGTCAAACCAAGACTCCACCTGCAGAGTGCCGATGGTTGGGAAATGGGATTCCCTCCTTCCCCCCCCAAAAAAAAAAACCCAACAGTCTTTTAAAAACTTACAAAATTGACTTTTCAGTGAAAATATCAAAAAATGGAGTATTTTGTCCCGCACCAAAAAACAAACATTTTCACTCAGAAATTCAGATGTGGTGCCTCACGGGAGTTGTCGTTTGGCTGCCTCATGCTCCCCTTCTTTAAGGGCTGGACTACCTGATTGGACTACATCTCCCATGATGCTCTATGCCCCCCCCCCCGCCCATGGTGAGGGGAGATGGCTCCATCATGGGAGTCTTTGCCCTGGTGCATCATGAGGAATGTAGTCTTCTGGGGGGCCTAGTCCATAGTGGGGAATGGGGACATGAAACAACTAAATTACAACTCACATGAGGCACAAAGACAGGATATCTAAATTGCAATATTTTGGTTTCAACCAAAATATTTCACTTTCACCAAAAATATTTAACTTTGGGGAGCATTTCCTTTTTGGATGAAAATTTTAATTTAATCAAAAACCCACTTTTCTATCACAGAAGAGTTTGGTTGGAAAATTTTCAACCAATCCTACTGCAGTGGTATTAGTCTCACTTTTCTATCTTCATATTAGTTATTTTAAACCCTGAGCCAGCAAAGATTTGTGTATGTGCTTAATTTTAAGCATGAGAATAGTCCTCATGGACTTCTTTACAGAATTATTGCCTAAAGATATAGCAATTATTTTGAGAAGTCATGGAAGACAGGAGAGATTCTAGAAGATTGGAAAAGGAGCAAATCTAGTGCCCATCTATAAAAAGGGAAATAAGGACAACCCAGGGAATTACAGACCAGTCATCTTAACTTCTGTATCCGGAAAGATAATGGAGCAAAGAATTAAGCAATCAATTTCCAAACATCTAGAAGATAATAAGGTGATATGTAACAGTGAGCATGGATTTCTCTAAAACAAATCATGTCAAACCAACCTGATAGCTTTCTTTGACAGGGTAACAAACCTTGTGGATGGGGGGAAGCGGTAGATGTGGTATATCTTGATTTTAGTAAAGCTTTTGATACTGTTCCACATGACCATCTCATAAATAAACTAGGGAAATGCAACCTAAATGGAGCTACTATAAGGTGGGTGCAAAACTGGTTGGAAAAGCATTCCCAGAGAGTAGTTATCAGTGGTTCAGAGTCATGCTGGAAGGGCATAAAGAGTGGGGTCCCACAGGGATCAGTTCTGGGTCCGGTTCTGGTCAATATCTTCATCAATGATTTAGATACTGGCATACAGAGTACACTTATCAAGTTTGCAGATGGTACTAAGCTGGGAGGGTTTGCAAGTGCTTTGGCGAACAGAATTAAAATTCAAAATGATTTGGAGAAACTGGAGAAATGGTCTGAAGTAAATAGGATGAAATTCAATAAGGACAAATGCAAAGTACTCCACTTAGGAAGGAACAATCAGTTGCACACATACAAAATGGGAAATGACTAACTTGGAAGGAGAACTGTGGAAAGGGATCTGGGTATCATAGTGGACCACAAGCTAAATATGAGTCAACAGTGTAACACTGTTGCAAAAAAAGCAAACATCCTTCTGAGATGTATTAGGAGGAGTCTTGTAAGCAAGACACAAGAAGAAAAGAAATACTTGTGGCACCTTAGAGACTAACGAATTTATTTGAGCACAAGCTTTTGTGAGCTACAGCTCACTTCATCAGATGCATAAAGTGGAAAATACAATGAGGATGTTTTTATACACACAGACTATGAACAAATGGGTGTTTATCACTTTAAAAGGTTTTCTCTTCCCCCACCCCACTCTCCTGCTGGTAATAGCTTATCTAAAATGATCACTCTCCTTACAATGTGTATGATAATCAAGGTGGGCCATTTCCAGCACAAATCCAGAGTTTAACAAGAACTTCTGAGGGGGGGGGGGGTGGTAGGAAAAAACAAGGGGAAATAGGTTACCTTGCATAATGACTTAGCCACTCCCAGTCTCTATTCAAGCCTAACTTAATTGTATCCAATTTGCAAATGAATTCCAATTCCAAGTCTCTCACTGGAGTCTGTTTCTGAAGTTTTTCTGTTGTAATATCGCAACTTTCATGTCTGTAATCGCGTGACCAGAGAGATTGAAGTGTTCTCCAACTGGTTTTCGAATATTATAATTCTTGACATCTGATTTGTCCATTTATTCTTTTACGTAGAGACTGTCCAGTTTGACATGAAAGTTGCGATATTACAACAGAAAAACTTCAGAAACAGACTCCAAGGAGAGACTGCTGAATTTGAATTCATTTGCAAATTGGATACAATTAACTTAGGCTTGAATAGAGATTGGGAGTGGTTGAGTCATTATAAAAAGTAACCTATTTCCCCTTGTTTATTCCTTCTCCCCTTTCCCCCCAACTGTTCCTCAGACATTCTTGTTAAACCCTGAATTTGTGCTGGAAATGGCCCACCTTGATTATCATACACATTGTAAGAAGAGTGATCACTTTAGATAAGCTATTACCAGCAGGAGAGTGGGGTGGGGGGAGAGAAAACCTTTTAAAGTGATAAACACCCATTTTTTCATGGTCTGTGTGTATAAAAACATCCTCATTGTATTTTCCACTTTATGTATCCGATGAAGTGAGCTGTAGCTCATGAAAGCTTATGCTCAAATAAAATG